CAGGCCAGCAGTGTGGCAGCTTAGTCCAGGATGGTAACACTGGGTGGACAGACTTGAGAAATGTCTTAGAGGTAGAATGGACTGGTCTTTTTCATGCCCAGACCCCCACCTGGAACTCCAGCCTCAAAAATCCCCCTGCCTACTCCACATCTCCATCTGGATGTCCAATATACATTTTAAATTTTGCCCAAACTTGGACTCTTGATCTACCAACTTCAAACCTGCCCTTTTTCAGCTCCATTCTTCCAGGAGTCATCCTTAACTCCTCCCTTATCTCAGTGCCCACATCCAGTCATGAGTAAATCTTGCTGGCTCTACCTTGAAAATATATCTGGAACTCAACCACTTTTCACAAGCTCTACTACTGACACCCAAATCTAAGCTACCATCACATCTCACTTGGATTATTGCAATAACCTCCTAATTGTCTCCTTGCTTCTACCCTTGCCCTCCAGTAACCAGCATGCTCCTGTTAAAATGTAAGTCAGATAATACGTTCTTCTCCTCTGCTCAGGCCCTCCAATGAAATCCAATCTCAGAATACAATCCCTTTTCTCCCTCTCTGACCCCATCTCCCACCACTCTCCCCGTTATTCACGGTGCTCCAGACATACCAGCCTCCTTGCTGTACTTTAAACCTGCCAAACACTGTCCTGCCCCAGGATCTTTGCACACACTTGTCCCTTTATCTGGCTCCACATATCTGCAGAGACCTGCTTCTGCCTCCCTTCATTCAGGTCTCTGCTCAAATGTAACCAGCCCAGAGAGGACTTCCCTGAGCACTCCATATAATGAAATAATCTTCATCACTTTGTTCCCTTGACTTGCTGTATTTTTCTTCGTAGAACTAATAATCTCCTGACATCATATACTTCTGCCCTACAGTATAAGCACTGTGCGAGCAGGATCTTGGTTTTGTTTATTGCTTTATCTCCAGCAGCTGGACTAGTACCTGGTGGATACTCCATAACATGTGCTAATGACTAAATGAGGGTGGTGCTATGGAGTGAAGAGAGTGAGTACTTCATGAAGGGGGGCCTGCAGCACTACTACCAGTGGCAGAAAAGTGAAGAAGGTAGGGCCCCAAAGCAGCCCTCTGGATTTGGTGGGAAGATAGGGCTACCCAGGGCTCAGAAAGGCCAACTAGAATGGCTTCCAGTAGTTAGTGAGAAAAGCACAAAGATCACTCTTGCTTAAATTTCTGGTTTGCGGGACTTCCGATCAAGATGGCAGAATAGACGGTACCTAGAGCCACCCTCACCCATGATCAAACAATTTACAACTATCAAAAAGCAACGATCTGCCAAGCTGGGGCCGCTAGAGCTCAGAAGAGGAAGAGAGACCTGAGGAGTGCATGAAGTCAGGAGAAGCCACCACGAGAGAAAGAAAGGACCACTCCAACCATTTCAAGCACCAACCATTTCATGGCTGGCCTGGGTGAGTGCACAGAGCAAGAGCTGGCAAAAGCCACAGCTGTGCCCTTCATATGAAGTTTTTTGGATACTGCAGGGGAGAAGAGGGCCCCAGTGGCCCCCAAGCCAGCAAGACCACTAACAGGGTTTCCGTGAACCTACATAGGAGCGAGAGGCCACAGACAACTGAAAAGAGGAGCCACTCAGAGGCCAGTGAGTCATTGCAAGGGACCTGCCCACGGCCTGTCCCATGGGAAGTATTTGGAGTGCAGGGGGTGGAGGAGACAGGCCACCAGGGGAGCACTGGGGCACAGCATGGACAGCTGATCTGCCCTCCAATCAGCACAGGACCTCTCAGTGGAGACTGGCCAGGAATACAGATCCACAGGGGGTGCAGTTTGCTGAAAAGACTCAGGTCCAGACCAGAGTTTCCACACAACCCAGGTGTACTGGACCTCACTAGACCCAGAAGTGCTTACAAGGTCAACAATAAAAATCTGAGCTGAACAAAAACCCTTCCCCAGAGAAGCAGCAGCAAAGCAGCAATTTAGCTCAACTACAGGGAAGTTCCCCCATTTCAGAAGTAAGCAAAGGATAACAAATTAGTTCCAGTGCAGACTTGAAGTGGTGGGAACAGCAAATAACCAACATAGAACAGAAAGAAAAAAACAAAAAACACACAGATCAGAGACAAAGTTCTGATATTAACCAGTAAAG